AGAGCCTAAGTAAGTACTCTGGTTTTCTCAGTTAATTGGCCTGAGTTGACTTGAGCAATCAAAATCATACAAATCCGATTATCCAACTAAACCTTAGCCATTTATTCTTTTACCATAAATAGGTGTCTTTCTTTGATCTATATAAATTTTCCTAAGTTTCCTTTCGCACTCAAATTATGAATAGTCTCTTATAAGATGAAGATTGATACCTTTTGATGGATTTGACGAAATCGGCAGCGGTTGGATCACGCATTCGTTGAAGGAAATCATGCCACGTCAATGGTGCAGTAGACGATCCTAACACGTCGCTGTTCTCCATTTTCAGATCGACGGCCGGCGACTCTCTCTCTCTCTACGAATTTCTGATACTATACTGAAGAAGAAAGAAGAAGAAGACAGACTAAATGGGCCCCCGAAATCAAGTGGAAGTTGGGCTTGCAATTCATTTGTTTGGAAAGGACTTTGGGCTTATGAGAGTAAATTGGGTTCTCAATTGGGCCTATCAGGACCTATTTATGGGCCATAACACCTGAATTTCTGAGAGAAAGTGGCAAATAGCCACTTGCCAGATCGCTAATTAAGTTTTTAACTACGCAAAATTATTCAGTACTAGTAAAATCACCGTGCTTCGCGCGAGAATTTAATATCACAGAATATATAAAATAATACTATATATAAAATAATACTTAAAACTTATCCGTCACTAAAACTAAAACACTATATTATCCTACATAAAAGATTAATACTGTAAAGAAAAATGAAAATTATTTCATCTTATCATTTATCCTTAATAACATAAGCATATATTAATTACTGTAAAAATACATACCAGGATCTAAAACATAAGCAATGGTGTCACTGAGTCACTCAACATGAGTAAAGTACACAAATATGTAATTGTGAAGAAGAAGTAGTTCAAAATTTTCGTTGTTTTAAAATGAGAGAAAATCCCTCTATTTATAGACAACAAATGGTAGTGTGAACAAATATTTATTGTGCCTTATCAGAAAGGTTACAACTATTTGGAAAAGTTGCAACCCTTCAGAAAGGTCACAACCTTTCATAAAAATTGCAACTCTTCATTAAAGTCACATTGTTTTTTTAAAAAAAACCAACACACTTTCACCAATTATTTTTTCACACAATAATATACAGAAACTCTAAAAAAAAAATATTTTTTAAAAAAAATGATGTTCATCCATTATTTTTTAACACAATAATGGCATGTGAAGTACACACATCCCACTTTGTTGATTCTTTGGAAAGAAGTGTCAAAATGGAACATAAAAATTGGAGTTGAAGGGTTAAAATGAAACAAGGTTGAGTTGAAGTGTCAAAATGAAATTTAGGGACAAGTTTAATAGTCTGCATATGTGTTTGGCCTTTTAAAAATAAAACAAAATGAATTTGTGGAGCCATACATGAAACAAAACTTTTTGTGACTCTTTAAAAGGAAAATTGGATTCTTCTAGAAAATTATTTTGACCATTAATTATACAATTATAAATTTATAACTTTGCCCATAAATAATGTTTAAAATTACAAAATTGTCATTGGGCGTCCTAATCATGGCTCTTCTATATAATAGAAATATGATATATGATTTAGCCGCTCGTTAATGAAGAAAATCTTATCTAAACTATATATTAAAAAAAAACATTAGTGTATTGTGTTGAAGGTTGAAGCTTTTACAAGTGAAACTCACAAACTATATTGAAACTCCAAATGGTGTTGAATTTCGAAACTTTTATAGGTAAACTCCAGCACAGTGTATTAGAGCTTCAATCCAATCTTTTCGAAAAGATTTGTACAACAACTTTTATAGTGAAACTTGTTCAATCACCAGATACAATCATGAAGTTTAATTTGTAGAAGTAAATTGTTCTTTTAAGTTAAAAGATAATACCATGAGTGGAATATATTTTTGGTATAATTACCCAAACATGTTCACTCACGAGTACATTTTGTAATATTTATACATCTTATCATTATTTCGTTCAATTATCTCTTTTAAAAACCCAAACTTAATGAATTGGAATAGTTTGGGAAAGAGTAGAGCACAAAAAAAGAAGCTTTGTTACTTTAGATTCTCCATTTGGAGGAACCTGAGAATTTTGAAGCAATGAAATTGGAATAGTTTCATCTCTAAGAAACACAAACCAAACTTGCAATTTTCGAAACCAACGCCTATAAAATGGTATAGTAACAAAGCTTGCAAAGTCTCATAACCATTTCCAAGATAAATAAAACAATGATTTGCACTTCTATTTGTTGATAACAAAAAAATGGCAACGGGACCTAATCGGGAGTTGCCACCTGTTTATGAAGATTTTAGGCCTGTTTCTGAGCGGCATCAAGAGGCAGGAGCTGAAAAATTACTTATTTCTCTTCCTGGTGGGTTTATATATTTATATTCTCAAACAAAACTATTACCGGTAATGTTTCAATTTGTTTGTTTTGTTTTAACTTCACACGAAGTTTAAAAGAACAAGTAATTATTCTTGAGAAAATTAGATATAGCATTACTTTGATTCCTATTTACCAATCATAATGATAGCTTGGCTAAGTAAGAAACATAGCAATAGTTTACTTAAAAATACTAGCAATATGATTCATTCTGTATCACTGTATACAGCGAAACAATAAAATTCAAACCCTCACACTATGTATTGTAATTTAACCAAACTTTCACTATTTCAAATAAATACACACACATATATATACTAGTTCTAGAACACGTGCAACGCACGTGTATACCGTGCTAATTAGTATAAATACTTTTTAAAATATATGTGTGATATGTGTAAAATACAAGCTCGAATCAATGAGTGGTGAGCATATTCTACTGATTATCATTGGAGGACACATCATACTAAAATATTGTTATCAAGTGAATTTCAAAAGAAATACTCAAACGACTTCAAATATGCAATTCTTATAATATATCAAGTATTCAACTTGATAATAGTTCTTTTTTTAATATGTCACAATACATATGGTTGCAAAATATTTAATGCCTTGAGGTTTCCACCTTCTTTTTAAGGAACAATAGCCTCCACCTTTTAACAAACGCATACATATCAAGAAGTTGTTGTCGAATGAGAGTAGCGTTTTGTAATAGTTGTAGAGAAATTTGATCAACATATGTCTCCCTTAGGATGGTTAGTAAATCATTATCAATTTCATAGTGAACACCTACAAAAATATATACTATTTATTTGTTATAAACATAATCGTGTGAGTATATAAATGACATATATATATAAATCATAATTACATGTATATGTACCTTTTGTCTTCTTAGGCTCATTATTCAACTTGATAATAGTTATTTTTTTAATATGTCACAATACATATGGTTGCAAAATATTTAATGCCTTGAGGTTTCCACCTTCTTTTTAAGGAACAATAGCCTCCACCTTTTAACAAACGCATACATATCAAGAAGTTGTTGTCGAATGAGAGTAGCGTTTTGTAATAGTTGTAGAGAAATTTGATCAACATATGGATGGTTAGTAAATCATTATCTAGTGAACACCTACAAAAATATATACTATTTATTTGTTATAAACATAATCGTGTGAGTATATAAATGACATATAAATCATAATTACATGTATATGTACCTTTTGTCTTCTTAGGCTCATTCAAAAAAATTAAATTTTTTCATCTATAAATTTTGATTAAAAAAATTGTTAAGTTGTATACATATAATTATATTATGAAATACAACACAATCATTTGTGATATATTAACCGTATGGTATTGTCATATTTCATAAAAAATTGAAATCATCAAATAAAAATCCAATGAAACAGAAGTATTATCAATTGATAAAGAAATAGGAAACAAAAGTATTACTCTCTCTCTACATAAGTTTACCACCATTTATATAATTAAACATCAAATCAACAAATCAAAATTTTATAAAACAAAAGCATTTTCATCAAAATAATAATAATAAAAAAAGAACAAGGAAAAGTATTACTTTACCATAGTTAAATTCAACTTCAACTGTTCATAAAATTAGATACACACTGTATGGGATTAAGGTATAAATAGGAGATATTAGGAGAGGTGAAAAGACTTATAGTAACTAATTTGAAATATAATATTTAATGTAAAATTATGTCCTTTTGGATTCTTAAATATAGAACATAAATAAGAAAAATAAAAAGAAATCAAAAAGTAAAAAGTTTGTAACTGATTTGACTATATTGTTTAATGAGGAATTATGTCTTCTTGATTTATTAACGTGAAGAGAATATGAGCAGATTTGGATGAGTAGTGCAACTATTTAATATTTAAATACTTAAATATATAATATTTTAATTTATCATAAATGCAAAATGGTAATTCAACTTTGAAGATAGGACCTTCCCAAGTTTTTATCCATTTAGATTAGATTAGATTCATATTTTTTTTGAAATAGGTCCACGTTGTTATCCATTTAGATTAGATTAGATTCACATTTTTTATTAAATGTCTTTGCACTAAAAAAGTTTTTTATATATATAGCACACCAACTTAGATTAATGATTTGCTAATACATTAATCAACGTTAGAAGTTCTAAAGTTTTATCTGCTCATTGATCAACGTGAAAGCTCAAAAGTTTTACGAAGGTTGAAAAATCAGAATATAACTTCTTAATTAATTCCCAAACAAACTTTCTAACTTTATTGGAAGATGCACATTTATTATATTGTATTTATATTTGATATGATTGTTGTTTAGTATATTTAATTAATTAAATATAATATTTTAATTTAACGAAAGGGTAAAATGGTAATTCAACTTTTACACTTTGAACCTTCCCACTTTTAGTAATATATATATATATATATATAGTGAAAGGGTAAAATGGTAATTCAACTTTTACACTTTGAACCTTCCCACTTTTGGTAATATATATATGATATATGATATGATGTTTGCTCTTTTGAACAAAAGGATATAAAATTCTCATCATCATATAGAAGAACTTTTATGATATGCATTAAAGTAGAAGTTTTAAATTGTCTTTATTTGCCTGCAGGTTTCATGAAGGAGAGCATTAGAGTAAGTACTGAAGGCAAGAACACAGTGAGAGTAGGTGGAGAATTTTTTATAGGAAGCAACACATGGTGTCGCTTCCAAGAAGATTTTCAAGCACCTGATGATTGTAACATGAAAAGGATCAATGTCAAATTTGAGGATGGAATGCTCACTATCACTATGCCACGAAAAATGCCCAGGCAATTATTAGATGAACAAACAAAACAATTTCCTCACAGAATCCCTCAGAAGGATGATCATATTCCTCCCAGAAACAATCATTCAACTGATGAAACACCAAGAAAACCACCCCCTTTAAAACCCACAGCTCAACATGCTGACAAAGATAAAGATTCTACAAGAAATGAGACATTGGGGAGTGCTGAATCATCAAAGACTCAAAAGGGTAATAATGTTCCTCCCAGAACAACTTATCCAACTACTGAAGCCGCCCCAAGAAAACCAACCCCTTTAAAACCCACAGCTCAACATGCTCACAAAGATCAAGATTCTACAAGAAATGAGATATCGGGGAGTGCTGAATCATCAAAGACTCAAAAGGGTGATAATGTTCCTCCCAGAACAACTTATCCAACTACTGAAGCCGCCCCAAGAAAACCAACCCCTTTAAAACCCACAGCTCAATTGCCAAAGCCTCAAAATGCTGACAAAGATCAAGATTCAGGAGTGAAGGAAAATAAATTCTCTGACGACCAATTGATGAGCACCGAATCATCAAAGACTCAAAAGGGTGATAAAAATATAGATTTTTCAGCTCTTAGAACAATTCCATTAGGAAAAACTAGTGGTGAGAAGGAAAGATCAAAAGATGAGAAGAAAATCTTGGAAGGTCTAGTAGGTAGTATTGAGCCAAAGGGTGATAATGTTCCTCCCAGAACAACTTATCCAACTACTGAAGCCGCCCCAAGAAAACCAACACCTTCAAAACCCACAGCTCAATTGCCCAAGCCTCAAAATGCTGACAAATATCAAGATTCTGGAGTGAAGGAAAATAAACTATTTGACGACCAATTGATGAATGTCGAATCATCAAAGACTCAAACCTTCAAAACCCACAGCTCAATTGCCCAAGCCTCAAAATGCTGACAAATATCAAGATTCTGGAGTGAAGGAAAATAAACTATTTGACGACCAATTGATGAATGTCGAATCATCAAAGACTCAAAAGGGTGATGAAGATATAGATTTTCAATCTCTTAGAACAACTCCATTAGGAAAAACTAGTGGTGAGAGGGAAAAAACAAAAGATGAGAAGAAAATCTTGGAAGGTATAGTAGGGAGTATTGAGTCAAAGATTCAAAAGAGTAAAGAAGAAAACTTGGATCATAACAGAACACAGTTGATAGAAAGTGGCAAGGAAGTTGAAATGAAGGAGAGGCATGATGCAGGAGGAAAGATTGTTTCTGAAAAGAGTGAAGATTTAAGAAAAAAGTTTCAAGAAAAGGTTGAGCAGAAAGGATCAAAAGAAAAAAGTACAAAAACAGGTTGCGCAGACTATTTTTGGAAATTTATTTCATGGTTCTCATTGTGAAGATTAATATATCAGATCAGTGCAAATGAGCTAGCTTACCTTTATATAGTGACATAAATGAGAACTGGTCTGCTCCTGGAGGGTTACCCTTTGCTGAAACAAAAATCAAGAGGTTATTGATAACCTTGCAACAATTAAGAATGCACACAAGTTTGTCTCTTGGTGCCCTGTACATATTTATCTTTTGTAGCTCCTTCTGCGTAAGCTGTAAAAAGTGTAGCATGTAATGAAATAGTTAGACATCTCATTGCAGAATGACATTCACAAAATATCTATGCTTATTTATGGCAGGGTGAAAGAGCTATACTTATCGTAATCAAGATCACAACTCAAAAGGACAGTCTAAAGAAGACGTTTCTATAAAGGAAAAAGTGTGCGCGCTTTGGTACTTTGAAAATATTATCTGAATTTTGCGTACTTCATGCCTTGATACGTTACTGTAAACAGACGGCCGTACCCATTAAAAACCCAGTTTACAAACATCTGCAGCAAACCTCTGAAAATCTGGGTCCACATTTAACCAACAAGTTACCAAATTGAATGAAAAATATGAAAGTAATACAATTTTATTAGAAATCAATACTCCAGGTAATTGCCAGAGTAAACAGTGTCCATCTTGTCAAAGTGTAACATATGCACAAAGACAAGAAGGTTAGCTCGCTCTTGGTTATTTTTGTTTTAAATACTCCTTTTCTTTTATCAGTAATAAAATCTGGTAATTTTATTACTTAACCCACGCATCATCATCCTATGAGTGACAGGCCCAAATCCCAACAATAGTAGTAATCAAGTGAGAAATCATATCCTATCCTAGTAGTAAGAAAAAGTAGCAGTTAAGAACCAAAATCCCTGCACTTGCATCCGTTTCACAATATCTTGAACAGAATCAATGGATGACTCACCAGAAATTTACTTTTTACAGAGTTCACTTACCAACCATGATGATTCATTTTGAAATGTTGGCTTGATATCCAAATTCTCAGGCCTAACAAATAGTTGAATCGAAGTAATTTTCTCATGAAGCTATTCATCAACTTTCACATCTTCAGGAAGTGAAGCAAATGTACGTGTAAATAGCTTTTTCATGACATACTTCTAAAGTCCCTGTTGTTCGAAATAATATGAATATGAGCAAACAAAGTACAAACAGCACAGCAACAACTAAACTAATAATCAGTCGACATGCAGCCTACATTCATCCACAAGCATAGAGTATAGAGAATGTGATATCCATGAATAACACAATACATTGATTCCATAAGTTGGAGTAAATTTGTATAATCATCAATCTGAACCTTTTACTGAAAAGGTATGACATATGAAAGCATGTTGAGATAAAAGGAAAAATGAGACAATCAGACTTGGTACTTCTAGGCACAGTACCAATAGCAACTCTAATTAAGACATGGGAAAACATAGAAGATTCAAGAATCCAAAGTCTTTTTGTTCCTTCAATGTTGAGATATCTGTAGATCTGTTTCTGAAGGATATCAGTGAAATTTCCTTCTGCTACTTATCAAATCACAAAAGCATAAGTAACAGAAGGAATTTTTATTTTTTATTTTTTTTTCAGTTTCAAAAAATTTCCTTCTGTTACTTATGCTTTTGTGATTTGATATTTATTAATATCCTGGAGCATCCTGAATCTTCAGTATAATAAAAAATCAGCATGTAGATATCATAGGTTTGAAACTCGGTTGAGTATAGACCCATTCCTCTATCATGTTCCACTTAAATTTCAGGCTTCTTGTTAGCCGCAGTGTTCGAACTTGTGATGTGCACCCTAGCTGCACATCTCAAGTTGTGTCCTTATTATTGAACCAAAACCCTTAAGATTCCTATTTGCATTAACATTTTTTTCTCGAATGGACATACTTATACCTACCTAAACGTCTTCGAGTTCCTAGTTGAGTTAAAATGGCAAGCATAGCTGGTTATGCAATTTGAACTGATCAAATATATGCAAATATTCAATATGCAGTAGTATGTTATAGGACTTTAGATCAGTTAGTAGTAGAAATCCAAAGCCCATGAATTCATCCATCTACGTGCTTTATAATCACTAAAAGTATGGGAAGAAATTAAGCTAAGATGACTAGCTGATTACAAGTTCCATCTTACTAAGTAAGTACTCTGGTTTTCTCAGTTAATTGGCCTAGATTGACTTGGGCATTCAAAATCATACAAATCCGATTATCCAATTAAACCTTAGCCATTTATTCTTTTAGGCTTAATAGGTGTGTTCTTTGATCTATCTAAATTTTCCTAAGTGGCCTTTCACACTCAAATTATGAATAGGCCGTTATATATATAATATCCACCGAGTCCAAAGGGACGGTGACAGACGGATTTCTCGGTTATAAAATAAAAATAAAAATATATATATATATATAAACTATGTGTACGTTATATCATTAAGTAAATTTTAAAAAAAAAAACACAAAATTTTTAAAATATAAAATGTATTTAAAGAGCAACATGATAACTCACCATCAAACTAACAAAACAATTAAGGAGTAAAACTAAATGTGGTGACAAAATTTCATCATTAATATCAAAGTCAAAATTATATTGCTAATAATACACGAAAAAACACTCTAAATAATTAGATAAATGAAAAACAAACTATATTATATATATAAGCATAATAATAAAACACAACTATTTATAGCAAATTAACAATGATTATGATAAAGCTGAAGGACAATGTAGCAATGGAAGAAAACTAAAATTCATTATTGAGAGGCTTTACATTCTACGTAGTATAGCTACCTTACATTTAACTAAAATGAAGATTGATACGGATTTGACGAAATTGCCGGCGGATGGATCACACATGCACTGAAGTAAAACATGCTACGCCAATGCTGCAGTTGACGATCCTAACACGTCGCTGTTCTCCATTTTCCGATTCGACGGCGACTCTCTCTCACTCTCACCCAATTGTGAATATGTATATATCTGAACTCCACTGCTGTATATGAAGAAAGAAGAAGGCAGAATAAATGGGCCTGGGCTTACGATTATTTGTTTAGAAGGGCTTGGGCCTATGAGAGTAAATTGGGTTCTCAATTGGGCTTTCAGGACTTATTTATGGGCCATAACACCTGAAATTCTGGAAGAAATTTTGGCAAATAGCCACTTGTCAAATCCATAATGGAAAAATTACTTGGATTGACACCTTTTAATAAATAATTTACATTTTATTTATTATCATTTATAGGAATACTATGTTAAATCTGCAATATGTATTAAAAGTTAATTATGTATGCAATATATATGTATTATAACTGTTTTTTAAAATATATTATGTTTGTTTGGTAAGAAATTGACACATTGTATTATAAGTGTATTAAAATGTGTGATAAATATATTATCCATCAATAAAACTTGTATTATATGTGAATAATAAATTGTTCTTTGTACTATGTATTAAAATTGTATTATAAATGTATTAAAAGTGATCAAGTGAAAAAGAAAATGTTATTGTTATAAATGATAAATATTTTTTTAATATAGTATATTTATGTAAGTTTCCATTAAGTTTTAACTACAATCGCAAAGTTATTCAGTATTTAGCCATTATCTAAACTATAATAATTTATTTTTCACTATTTAGGTGTCATCTAAAAACTATAAAAAATAAAATGATTTTTTTAGTGTATCGCGTTGGAGTTTGAAGCTTGAAGCTTTTTATAAGTAAAACTTCACACACTAATTGCTGGAGTTCGAAACTTTTACAAGTAACACCAGCACAATGTATTGAAGCTTCAATCTAATATTTTTTTTAAAAAATCTTGCCACAATGTTAATAATGAGACTTGTTCAAATATCAAATACAATAATATGGCGTTTCAACTCGTACAATAAAACTCCAAGATATTGTTGTTGAGTTCATGAATAATAGCATAAGTGAAATCTATTTTTCATATTATTACTCATATTCGTTCACTCATGAACACATTTTTTAATATGCATATTTTTTTATCATTATATCTATTTCAAATCTCATTAAAAAAATCTCAAGTTTGAACTTTTACAAACCCAAACTTAATGAATTGGAAAGGTTTGGGAAAGAGTAGAGCACAAAAAAAGAAGCTTTGTTGCTTTAGCTTCTCCATTTGGAGAAACCTGAGAATTTTGAAGCAATGAAATTGGAATAGTTTCATCTCTAAGAAACACAAACCAAACTTGCAATTCTTGAAACCAACACATATAAAATGGAAGATGTTGTAACCCACAAAATATTCATCAAAGCTTTCAAACTCTAATAACCGTTTCCAAGATAAATAAACCTTAAGAAGAAGAAAAAATGGCAACGAGACCAAGAGGTGGTGGCGTTGGACCTAATCGCCCTAATCGGGGACCTGCAGCACGCCCAGTTTACGAAGATTTTAGGCCTGTTTATGAGCGGCATCAAGATGAAGAAGCTGAAAAACTGATTATTTATCTTCCTGGTGAGTTTATTTAGAAATAGCCCTCCTATTTGAGCCCTAATTACTGATTATTTATCCACACGAACACAATACTTTAAAATACCATGTATCGATTCGTTCAGTGTACAGAGAGCGTGAAACTAATATAACTCACCTGCAGGTTTCATGAAGGAGAGCATTAGAGTAAGTACAGAAGGCAAGAACACAGTGAGAGTGCGTGGAGAACGGGTTGTAGGAGGCAACAAATGGCATCGATTTCAAGAAGATTTTCATGCACCTGATGATTGCAACATGAGAGGCATCCATGCCAAATTTGAGAATGGAATCCTCATTATCACTATGCCATGGAAAATGCCAAAGCAGTTATTAGATGAACACACAAAACAATCCCCTCCCACAATCCCTCACAAGGATGATAATATTCCTCCCAGAACTAATCATCCAACTGTTGAAACCCCAAGAAAACCAACTCCTTTAAAACCCACAACTCAACATGCTGACAAAGATCAAGATTCTACAAGAAATGAGACATTGGGGAGTGCTGAATCATCAAAGACAACTTATCCAACTATTGAACCCACCCCAAGAAAACCAACCCCTTTAAAACCCACAGCTCAACTGCCAAAACCTCAACATGCTGACAAAGTTCAAGATTCTACAAGAAATGAGACAATGGGGAGTGCTGAATCATCAGTGACTCAAAAGGGTGATAATGTTCCTCCCAAAACAACTTACCCAACTATTCAAGCAGCCCCAAGAAAACCAACCCCTTTAAAACCCACAGCTCAATTGCCAAAGCCTCAAAATGCTGACAAAGATCAAGATTCTAGAGTAAAGGAAATGAAATTCTTTGACGACCAATTGATGAGCCCTGAATCATCAAAGACTCAAAAGGGTGATGAAGATAAAGATTTTCCAGCTCTTAGAGCAACTCCATTAGGAAAAACTAGTGGTGAGAGGGAAAAACCAAAAGATGAGAAGAAAGTCTTGGAAGGTCTAGTTGGGAGTATTGAGCCAAAGATTCAGAAGAGTAAAGAAGAAAACATGGATCAGAACAGAACACAATTGATCAGAAGTGGCAAGGACGTTGAAAAGAAGGAGAGCCATGATGCAGGTGGAAAGATTGTTGCTGAAAAGATTAAAGATTTAAGAGAAGAGTTTCAAGAAAAGGTTGGGCAGAAAGGATCAAAAGAAAAGGAAAGTACAAGTAATGTATCTGCTGGTACCTCTTTTTATCCTGGCAGTATTGGCAACTTGAAGAATAGCCTTGTGGAACTAAATGAAGAGAGACAACTGCTTGTTAATGCTGGAGCTGCTGTGATGGTGATTATGGCTCTTGGGGTTTATGTTTACTACTCCATCGGATCAGGGAGAACTGAGTAAAAACAACCAACACTTGAGTTACGTAAAAATGTACAAAATTTACATGGATTGTAATGCTTTTAATTTGTGCAAATAAAAGAAAATGGGGTTTACATGTGCATATAAGAAAATAAGAATAAATCATTCTTTCAAGTCTATAAGTTAATCAAAAATTTGAATCAGTCAATTACATAGAGACTCGGTGCATTTCCCTCCCAGCCTATGCCAAGGGTGAAATCCCCCTCACCGCCTAAACTTGCAGTTCAGCTTTCCCATTACATGTCGTATATACAAGTAGCCAACAAACTCCACAACTGAAAGCAATCTAGTTCTTCAGAGTTCAGATGCTGTCCCTTTAACAGTTGTTTCCGTCAGCAGGGGATAAATATAATGCAATGTTCTAATGTCGGTTCATGTTAACAGTTAGTAGTCCCTCTAAGAGTCTGGATTGATTGCTACCACTCTGCTAGAAAAAAATCTGTCCATTGGTGCAAGTCCGGACAACTTCAGAAGTAGGTAGCATCAAATGTGCTCCATAACCCACTTATAGATGGAATCCCTAGCTTGTTTACACTTAATTCACAGCTTACTGTTGTAAATTAATGTGACCTCTCGTGAAGCAATCTCTTTATATGCTTCGCCTAAGTCAAATATTAGCCTGCAAAATGTCACAATATGCAGTAAAAATATAAGAAAACCTAATTGAAGAGGTTCATCATAATATGGAATGATCCAAAATAACAAGGTATTCTCAGAGATGACACAAATATCAGTGCAAGGAAAAAACAAAAAAGAGAAAAATGAAGTGGAAACAGGATACCACTCGTTTATTAATTCGTATTTTAGGAAGGTTGAAGAGGAAACAAGAATTAATATACTTATGTTGATAAAGACAAGAATAATATATATGAATATTAGTTAAGAAGATTATATATATACATGGTACCTTCGCAATAAGCAAAATATACTATTTACTAAGATTGTTGATAAATAAATTAGATCATTAGTCAAGAATGTAAATTAACTCGATTCCTATTTAATAAGTTGAACAAATGGTTAAATTTTTGTAATTATGACCTATATTTGATTTAATTATATGATCATGATTTCACTAGTTACCACTCAGCATCATTGGCGAGTGGTGGGATACAATTTGCATTTTTGAAGGACCCTACACTGAGGTGGCTACATTACTGTAGGATCCGAGCAACATGAATGAAAGAGGGAAACAACAATATTAAATGATTGATTACGTAAAAACTAAGGGACAAACTGACTTGGAGGTCGATATTATTGACTTACTAAATTGATAACATATGAATTATTTGTAGCTATAATAAGTATACAAACTAATTTGATCAGAATGACTATCAATGGCAAATAAAGCTTGAACTAACTGGAGTAATTATACAAGAAACTATACACAAATGAATCTGTCTTGTTGTAAAACAAAACAAAATTAAACACAACACGAATTAATTGATGGAAATCTAAATGATTTACATTAAGGAAATGTACACGGATTTCAGGAATTAGCCTCCTTTTTCAAGTGGGATTTCACTAGGTATGCCGTTGTTGTTGTTGTTGTACACAGATTACAGGAATCCAAAAATAAGGAAAGTATATTATTCTTATGAATTGATGGAAATCTAAATGAATTGATGGAAATCTATGTACACGGATTTCAGGAATTAGCCTCCTTTTTCAAGTGGGATTTCACTAGGTATGCCGTTGTTGTTGTTGTTGTACACAGATTACAGGAATCCAAAAATAAGGAAAGTATATTATTCTTATGAATTGATGGAAATCTAAATGATTTACATTAAGGAAATGTATACGGATGGCAGGAATTAGCCTTCTTTTTCTAGTGGAAATTGTTGTTGTTGTATACGGACCATTGGAATCCAAAAATAAGGGAAGTATATTATTCTTATGAATTGATGGAAATCTAAATGATTTACATTAAGGAAATGCATATGGATTACAGGAATTAGACTCCTTTTTCTAGTGGGATTTACACAGGGTAAGTTGTTGTATATGGATTACAGGAATCCAAAAGTAAGGAGAGTATATTATTCTTATGAATTGCTAGAAATCTAAATGATTTACATTAAGGAATGTATACGGAGCACAGGAATTAGCCTTTTTTTTCTAGTGAAATTTCACTGAGTATGTTGTTGTAGTAGTATACGGACCACAGAAATCCAAAAATAAGGAAAGTATATTATTCTTATGAATTGATGGAAATCTAAATGATTTACTTAAGGAAATGTATATGGAGTACACGAATTAGCCTTCTTTTTCTAGTGGAATTTCACTGGGTATGTTGTAAACGGATCACAGGAATCCAAAAATAAGGAAAGTATATTATTCTTATGAATTGATGGAAATCTAAATGATTACTTAAGGAAATGTATATGGAGTACACGAATTAGCCTTCTTTTTCTAGTGGAATTTCACTGGGTATGTTGTAAACGGATCACAGGAATCCAAAAATAAGGAAAGTATATTATTCTTATGAATTGATGGAAATCTAAATGATTTACGTTAAGGAAATGTATATGGATTGCAGGTATTAGCCTCCTTTCTCTAGTGGGATTTACATTGGGTATGTTGTTGTATACGGATTATAGGAATCCAAAAGTAAGAAAAGTATATTATTCTTATGAATGGATGGAATTCTAAATGATTTACATTAAGGAAATGTATACGGAGTACAGGAATTAGTCTTCTTTTTCTAGTGGAATTTCACTAGGTATGTTGTTGTATATGGATCACAGGAATCCAAAAATATTTTAATGCCAAAAAATATTACATAGAAATTGGAAGATTTGAATGTTTCAAAAATATTTTAATGCCAAAAGAGTAAGCTAAAGTTGGAGGGTATATAGTGAATTATGGGCATCAAATATGGGGCTAGTTTAGTCCTTCGCAGAAAAAAGTGAAGGTCATGCAGTGACAAATCAAAAGGCACAAGCTACTAATATTCCACCTTCAAAGGTCAGTTATATACATGGTGTCATGTAGTGTCATGTAGAAAGAACAAAAAGAAAAAAATTTAAAGAATCTGTATTTGAGAGTTGAGTGGCAATTCAAGAAACACCTAATAACGAAAAAAATTGAACAAAAGACAACAGTTTCAAAATAGTTCCATTTCTATATCCATCAAACACAGAGGCAGACCTAGGGTTCGAAGATAACAGGAGCACCACAAAAGACAGATGCACGTTTGTTGAAGCATGTCACGTAACACCGTCTCAGAGACTGATGTCCTAATGTATATATAAAAAAATTTAAAAAAAAGGAAAGCAGAATAGGGTGAGATTCGCTCCATGAACTGGCGGTCAGGGCACCACTATACATAATTTAGGTTGCATGTTTGAAACCTGCCACATACATATTTTATGCATTTTTCTTACTGTTAGCTTAAAACGAAAAACTAATGTAGCAGCCAAGATTCGAACATGAGTCATGCACCAAGGCTCAAGAGCCCAAGGGGCGAGCACTGATGACTAACCAAATGATCCAATCCAACAAATATGTTGGAGGGGCCCCTTTTTAAAATATATGATAGTTCTTCAAAGTATATAGACATATATATACCAGTTTTTTCCAAAGTTAACGGGTGCATGTACACCCCGAACCCACCACATGGGTCCGCCTCTGATCAAACATCAATTCTAACTCACATTAATAACACGAAACTTTTTTCTCTTCACATGAAAGGCACAGAGAGATAGAGTGGGGAGGGGGGAAGGTTTCAGATCGACAAAAGGAATTGAACCAAGAGCTAAACTAAACACAACATCCATTAGAACTTAAGTTCATACTTCATAGGAACATTTCAAGGAATGCTCATAGGCATACTAATTCTTGAGTTAAACATAGTACTCAAATGGACATAAATAAAGGTTTTGAGTGATGTATCACCCATTATAACAGGAAAGGTGACCACATGAGGCCTTTCAACAACAACAAGGAAATAAAAACTTGAAGATGTTCGATAGCTGGAAGTTACTATCCAAAACATCTTAAATGTTTTGCAGGCATTCTTTTAGTTTTGAGGTTTACCAGATGGCTTCGTCTTCTGTGGGGGTTTCTTAACCTTCTCAGCTTGCTGTTCCAATACCTTCTCTGAAGGCTTTCTTCTCCTTTTCAAGCCTGTCGTGCCTGTGTCCTCTGCAGCAGAATTGTCTATGAGTTACCTAATTATCAAGATTCATATAGAAGTCTAACTAAAATAGCAAACAACTTTGTAAATTTAGTTTCAAACTGGTGCAATGATACGAAGAATGGAACAAATGCATGGGATAGACTATGGGTACACTGCACATAAGTAAAAAAATACATCAGCAGCAGCTTCATAAGCACGGAGAATATTTTAGTCTACAATTACACAGAGGAGATGAGGAGAAACAAAGTTATAGCCTCTGAAATAGAGATGCAATAGATAAAGACCGTTGATCTTTTCATTATCTATTATGTCCCAATGGAAATTTCTTTACTTGATCTGGCTCAGACATCAAATTTTACTCTCCTTCCATTGCAAAGTCAAATTAAGTTTTCTGACTTCTTGTTGTTGCAAAATACAGATAATGATACTTATTAGGATATACTGAAGCAAAAGAAAAGTATCATGGATTCCTAGTAGAACTAATGTTAAAAGTGAACTCATAACAGTTCTGCTTCAGTGTACATAGTGACTTCTCTAACATCTTCAGAGAACACCCTGGTTGATTGGGATTGAGGCATAGTTGATTGATATCCAATAAAAAGTTCTGACACAAATTCAGAAATTTGAAACTAAACACTACTAACCTTAGAAGGCAGCCATTTAGGATTGTCAACTGGATAGAGATTTTATCAACATTTTCTTTCACATGACATAACAAGGAGTTTACACTCACCAAGGATATGAAATTTGGAATCACAGAATTCATAATAGTTAGATTCATTTAAAATATAATCGAAAATGTCTTACCGCCTTCAAATGGACTGGACTCATGATTCACTTGCCCATTTTGTCCGGCCTCTTCTGAAAGAGGAGACCCAGATTGGTTGCTCTCACCTAGCTTTGAACTACTACCAACACACTTGTCCTGTTGCTCTGGAGCATCAGGA